TATCCAGCGAGGCAAAAGTGCATGCCAAAGCGTGGCCGCAAGGTGCTCCCAGTCCTGCACGTACTTCAGCGGTAGCTGCACATGCGCTTATGTTTAGCTTGTATATGTCAAAAATCTCGTCGTTATCGTTTGCGTATATTTTGTACTTATCGGCAAAGTTTTGGGAGCAGATTGTAACTGCTGGTAACCGCAATTCTTCGTGCCTTGTTTCGTTTAAATTAATGGCTGTTGGGTACTCCAAGTATCGACTGACGCTACCAATACCAGAGAAAATAAGCCACCCGAGCGTCAACAGCACTAAGACCAGCCACACAAGTCTAAAAACTAGATATTCGCTTTCAAACATATTTCGCAGGCCATGAAGTGTGGAATTCTCATAGAATTCTTTCCATATGGTAGATGTTTTGTTGACTGGTGGCCTAGAAGGCTCTTCTTGCTTATCCTCGCTCATGTTATCAACTTTAGTCTAGTGTGGGAAGAAATCATATATATTTAGGCGATCTCTAATAATAGTATCTCGGTTGTTTTCTGGAATGATGTCGAGAGATTAATATATTTTAATTGGGATTTTATCTTTAATTCCTGCCGGCCAAAGCAATTAATCAATGTTGAACAATGACAATCAATATTTCTCGTGAGCAATGAAGGCATATTCAAGCTGCACCTGCCAATAAGATAAAAATTCTGGAAAAACCGCTTTTATATTTTACAGTCTGCGAGCCCCGCTTCCTTTGGAGTGTCAGTTCAAAATAGCGCTCCAAAGGGATATTTGGTTGTGCGCCTCAGTTAGTACATACCACTTACGTACACTCCCCCAGAGAAGCTGAAGGTCCGCTTATCTGTCTCCATATTAAAAAAAAAAAATACGTGAATCTTTAGTTTTAGGTTTTAAATCAATTTCAGTAGTTCAAGACCATAATTTATAGTTTGTCGAACTTATTCACAAATCGGCCGAATGTGTTTTTCAAAACAAAATGGAGTTCCTCTGGTTTTATCGAGGATAGAAAATATCAATAGTACATACGTTTTGAATCGAATTTCGTCGATCAAGACCTTGCAGACTTTCTAGAACATGACCGAACTCCCAGATGTAGATCAAAGTTGTTTTGATTGAAATTTCCGTTATTTTATGAAAAAAGGTTGACAACTACTAATAAAAAAGGTCAATTTCAATTCCAATTTCATTACTATTATATATAGGCCTACAAATAGAAAAAAACTAATCGAGGTAGGCCACATATGGATAACAATTCATGTTATTTTGATAATAAAAAACGTGTAGAGAATATGATTGAGTACTGAATAGATAACAAATAGACTTGGATAGAAATTTCGGTAACAGTTCATGGATAAATACTAATTTTTATTAGTTCTGAAAATACGAATCAGAATAATATAAGAATATACAATAATTAGAAAATTGTAAGTAATAAAACATGAGTAAGACGACGGGAAGGAAAACGGTTGGGAATGACGAAAAATGCGAAGGAAAAAAATCACAAGCCTAACTTGGAAGGATAGTCTTTATAATTCTATCTAACTTAATATAGTTCTCCTCAGTCTYCAACAMAGAAACAATTACATTTCTGATCTTGCTAAAAAATGAACTTGGAGCTATTCCTGATTTTATTTGGTATAGAGTTCCATAGCCTCGTACCAACTCTTGAGAGGGAATTTCACTATGTATTTAGTCTTGATGTATGGGTATATAACTTATTTGCAGCCGATGAGCATGATATATTTGTAGGTATTTTTAATTGAGACACATAATTTACAAAGGTTACTGGGACAGCTCCCATTAGAGCGGATTTCCTATGAGTGGGACACCGTTACCGCACGGTTACAGCACATTTACCGGACCTGGGCTGCACAATTGTTGTGAACCAACGAGGTACTAGAATTTGGTTACAGTACGATTACGGTCAGAGTACAGTAACGTCCGTTTCCCACTCAAACGAAACCCTCTCTAACAGCGTCATGTACAAGATTAGCAACAGATTTGAAATATAAGAGATTCATGGGCAGGATAGAATAGAGGGATAGCTCTATCCCATGGTTAGCAAAAAAGATGAGTCTGAGAACATGTTTTTATAATATTAAGATATATGGTCCGGTTTTATCATATGTGTTAAAGATCTCATGTATACCAAAATCAGAAAGTTTGCAAGTGTCGGTGATAGTTGGCGTCGTGGCAGRYATCTCAACAAGAAGTTTATCCCGCTCTATAAAACTATAATCGCTTCAATCTTCATCTAGGAATACTCCCGCGTGAATAGCATTGTTTTCTTTAATCCAGAAGAGACATTCCTTATCAAATTAGAAAAGTTAGGCTACGCAACTCAGAGTCAGACAGCCACGTTGCGGCTTTACTCAGCTACGAAGATCGGCTTGTATCTCGCCAAGGAAAATGCACTATCTGGCTCAATACACCAACCTTTATGACCTAAACCAATGTCCTAATATATGCTCTTACACAGATGAATGTTTTGGAACTAGACGCTCTTAGAGCGTAAAGTCGGGGTAGCTATTTTGGAAAATTGACAACGACAGGATATTGTATAAGTGCGCCGTGGATACGCGAACGAAAGATTTTKACCACYATAAGAAAACATTCAAATAGAACATGTAATATTCTGCCTGTCCATAAGATTATATATGAAAGTGAAATATGGCGTGGAATACTTTCTTTACTTCCAATATATAGTGAAAGCAAAATTTCTTATATAATTTACATAAGTTTAGTGATTCGAGTCCCACTTTTCACGGACGCATTGTTCTCCGAAAAAGTGCATGTATAGATTGGCAAAAAGGTAAAACTTAAGTCGAGKAGCCTACAGCTAGACCGATTAATAACTAAAGGSCTCGCTACAATAACTCCCGGGCAGTTAAATGTACTGTGATACGACAAACGAGAAACGAGGAAACGAAAGTCACGACCTATACTATTCGAAGTCAGTCTTTTAGGGACTTGGGAAATATTTTTGCCAAGCCTTGCATGCAGTTTCTAAGAAATCATTTAAGCTGGATGGGATTTAATTTACTAGAATACGATTTATCCCACCTTTTGGAACAGCTGTAAATACTTGCTCAATTAATTGTCAATTTTGTATGTGTTGCATCAGACTGATCGAATTTGATTCGAGTTTTATAATCGATATCTAAAAACAAGTTATAAAAGAAAGTACCTTTTTTGGCGTCAGAAGTGGGACGAGTCTGAAATCAATGCGGCTGCTGCGTTTGGATAGAGAGAATATTTGCTCTTCACTGTATACAAATTTTAATTTATAARATRAYATTTTGTGTRTCTAAGCAACGTTGAAATATGATCGAAAGGCTTATTTGACTAGCGGCGATCGATTCATGGGGTTATAATATACTAATTTAATAATAATAATAATGATAATAATTTTTAGGACGCAATTATAAAATCTCATTGCGTTAACAATAAACATAAATAAATATTAATTAGCATATAAAAATGACGTCTAAATAAAAATGTCTTTAGGCTAGATTTGAAACTGTCAACAGACGGAGAAGTTTTGATATATTCAGGTAGGATGTTCCATAGTTTAGGTGCAGAAAATGAAAAAGATCGTTCACCATAGTATTGAGTGTTAGGACGATAGTTTGACTGTAGTAGAGACTTAATAAGTTCTCGAAGTGATATCGAGACAACGTACCAAGTCAGCATATAGCTGGATAAGTGTGTTTATGCACAGTTTGAATCAAAATTGTCCTAGTTTTGTGCACTTCGTTGATATGGCCTACTCATTAATGCGTCAACAGCTTTTAGCATTTTCTAGCAACTTAGCAACGATTAWTGAATTGCAGCAAATTGCACCGAGTTTTGATACTGCATCGCCCCTTGATTTCATGTGATATAGAACTCAAACATGAACCTCACTACTGAGAAAAGAAAATAGATGAAAAAAAATATGCAAAGAACTATGTTTGAGCCACTTTTCGAACAGATGTTCTTTATTTTATTGTGGTTTTTGCTTTCACTTTGTTGTTGATTTAACCCGGGGGGTTTAATAATAAGCTTAATATTAAACCCTTTCTAGACTGAGGTAATATAAGATGATTTACAAAAACCCTGTAAACATTTAAATTACGTACAATGGTGAATTTTTTGATTTAATATATGAATATTGGCGTACTCGGTTGGATCAAAATTTTAGCAAGTAGCTGCATAAGTTAATTAAAAGCATTATTAAAGTATTATTTCGGTCTTTTTCCCATTTCTCTTGTTCTATTAATTAAAATTACGGTTGTTCCGACTACTTTTCAAAAAAGAAAAAAAAAAGATAAAACTATACACCTTAATCCAAAATGGCTGACTAGCCCTTGATGTCTCGTTTTCATGAACTTGTTCTTTTCTTTTAAAGTCGCTCAAGCTCAAAGACAAAAGAATAATTTTATTAAAAAGAGACATCAAGGGCTAGTCAGCCATTTTGGAATAAGGTGTATTGTCCGACATCTGAGGGTCTCAATGGGGTTAACCGTGAGCCGTGAAACGGCTAAAAAATTAGCCGTGAATCGTAAAAATGAGAAAAAATAGCCTCGAAACTGCTGAAAAATTAGCCGTGAGTCGTGAAAATGAGAAAAAATTAGCCGTGAGGCGTGAAAAAGTCAAATGTTTACCCGTGAGGCGTGATACGGACCCCCCCATTGAGACCCTCACATCTAGCTCTTGGGCTGCCGTCTGGCTGCCCGACATGTTATACAAACACAGTTTAAATTTGATAGAGTTCATCAGATAACGTCATAAAATTAGCATAATGTTTTTTTAACTCCAATTTTCTCTGAAATTTGGGGCCTGCGTGCAGTGGTGATTATCCAGCCTTCTTGTTTTATATGACTCTATTTTTTAAAAGTCGCTTCATAAGCACTTTAAAACTGTTTAATTTTACGAATATATTTTCTAGTGCTTTCCTAAAATAATTAGGAAAATCATATTGACTTAATAAATGTCATGCTGTTCCTGTTAGGGTCCAGTTGTCAAGTCGTCCAGATTCAAAATCAAATAAAATACACTCTAAAAGCAGAAAATATTTAAAATAKACTTTTTATACAAATTACAAGCGACTAGTTGGTACTTGAAACCATGCACGAAAACTTGATATATTCTTACTGTAAAGTTCACAATTCCTTCCATAAGTATTGAAAAATGGACAAGTACAGACGTAGTTGCTTCCTTCATCTTTCACGGTACACTGTCCGCCATTTTGACAAGGGTTTGSAGAACATAAATTCTGAAAAGAAATGCAGGTTGCAGGCGGTCACAAGCGTCTTTCTCATTATTTTGATCACCCGTAGCTGTTATATTTTGATAACTTGTAACTGTCCCCGCGGGATATGATAACGATAAAGAGTATTTGTCTAGCAGCCCAAGTTCTTGCCAATAATGTTATTTATCATATAATTATCTATAAAATAACTATATTTCTCCATTTCGTAAAATTGATATTTTTACTAGTGAAAAAAAAACATTCGAGGTTTTGCTATATAGTGGAAGTCAGAAAAAAGGTATTTAACGACCACATTGAATTTTCTTTTTCAAGGGTTATGAAATGCAGTTTCTGTTGTTCATTTTTATAGCAGTTCTTTTTTTGAAATGAGTAAAATATTTGTTTCATTCCGTGGATTAATATCAAAGCATCATTGACATTCAGTGTTGAGCAGTATATTCAAGTACTATAACGCGCTGCTATATACGTTACCAACCAACTCAAATCCTGTAGAAAAATAAAAAGCTTTTGTTGT